TATATAAAAATTCATAAATCTTCAAAACACATGTACGTATATATATCATTATAATAAAAAGGAAATAAAATATATATATATTATAATGTGAAAACAAAATATATAAAACAGATATTATAATTCCAGTAATAAGTTCAAAAACAAAGGATGTTAAGATATATTAAATATATCCTAAAAATAAATAAAACATCTATAAGATATATATAAAATGCTGAACCATAAAAAATATATATATCAATTGTATGATTCAATTCTATAGAGCCAAAACCCTTTTACATACAATTATGCATTTAAAAATATGAGAGTGATGTATCAAACAAATGATTAGAACAACTCTGAATTATATATATAAATATATATTATATTAATTTAAATCATTGATGTATTTGAAATATTAAATTATATGTATTTTATTACAATGAAATTATTAATAATTCTATTAGCAAATGATATGTAGCCTGAATTAAAAAAAAATATTTAAGTACAAAAAGAATGTATACGAAATTCTAAAAATTTCTAATAATACTTCATACCTTTAAGGATTAATTTCATTAAAATTTTTTAATAAATATTAATAGTATAACCCACATACATATCATTTCTTAACATATAATTATATATATATAAAGTTTAAAAAGTGACATATTAAGGGATATTTAGTTATTTATTTATTAAAAGTATTAAGTATTTTTCCTAGATATCTTGACATCTTTTTATTCTTTTAGATCTACAATTTAGTGTATAAATATACTTATTGAATATGTTGTTTCATACTATTATATTTAATATATTTATATTACGATATATATTAATAAGACTTATATAATAAATTTTATTTTTTATAATTAGGTATTCAACATACCCTTTTAAAGGATGAGTAAAATAAAAAATAAATATATGAAAACCCATGGAGAAATTTTGTAGGAATATATATATATTAATATTTTAGGGAAAAATATAATATAAAACAAACGAATAAATAAAGTAATAGCATAGATTGTTGTTCTAAATAGAATCTCATTATGAGGAAATCTAGCATTATGGTAAATGAAATAAGTATATTTAGAGGTTACCAAAAGAATCTTATTATAAAATTTTACAGTATAAAAAAATAACATTATTATTTTTATCATTTAATATATATATTATTTATCCTTTATTAATATGCATGTATATTAATATATTATTCTGTGCTATTCCCATCCAATTTATTCAGTATTAATTATCGAAATTCAATAATATTTAACAAATATACTTGTAAAATATGTTATAAATTGGGTTTCATGTAATTTAAAAAACTACATATATTATATATATATTAATTTGCAACATATAACATATTTTATACAATAATACATTAATATTAAAATTTTATGAATTCTATCTTACTAATACACTAGTGAAGCTTTTTTATAATATTTAAAAAAAAAACAATAGTCTAATATTTTATTATTATAAGAAAAGGAACATTTATTTTATAATATCTAAATGTAAATTTAAAGATTATGCAACTTATGTAAAAAATAGTATAGACACATATACGGTAATATAGTAAAATATGTGATTACAAGTAATATGTATAGATTCAATAAAATCTATTATTTATGGACATTTGTTCTTTAGTGCTTCATTATATTGTTTATTTAATCTTTTTTAAATATGTTTAATAAATAAATTATTTTTTTAAAAAGATTATTCACATGAAAATTAAGTAAAACTTTTATAGCTTTCTTTATAAAATATTTAATTTCAGTAAAAATAATATAAGACATTTTTCCATTTAAATAATTAATTAATGTATAATAATAAAAATATCATTAAGTAATTAATATTGTGCATATTATATGAGAAAAATGAGTACAAAAATTATTAACACAAAAAAAAATATAAAATTTTTTTCTTTTACTTATATAGAGGAAAACTATCGTTTCATTTACTAAATTTCACGAAACAAAGAATTTTTTGACATATAGGCTAGAATAATTTTAGTTTAATAAAATGATGAAAAAATTAAAATAAAAAATATAACAATATATTATGGAATAATTTTACTTTGAATAATAACATATAGAGAAAAAATAAAAAATAAACTATATCAAAACTGTAAGAATTCTTTTTTATAAGTGAATTATTTTATTACAGAATTATATTATATAATGCATAAAATATTAATTCAATATAAAATAATATATGGGTATGATATATATTATAAAATTATATACTTTTAAAATATATATTATTTTCGTACATAATATAAGATTTATATGAATAAAATATTATCTAATATAAAATATAAAATCACATTTAATAGTATAATCATATTAAATAATTATTTACTATTTACAACATACTCAAATTAACATATATATAAATTGTAAATTGTTATGAAATTATATACTATATTTTAATATAATTCACATAAATTAACATGTATTATATGCTTATATTCCTAATATATTTTATAAAAATGGAATCATAATTATAATACTCAGTTAATAATTGATAAAACGAAAATATTTGAAACAAAAATAAGCAAATAAAATATATGCAGAATTGTCTTATTAACCTTTTGTTTTTAACTAAAGTATTTTATACATATATAATTGTACCTATTATAACAACGTAATAAAAGATATAAAATAATTAATTTATAATAAAATTATCTATTATATTACATACAGAATTTAATTCATAATATGAATTGGAAATATTATAATTCTTGTATTATATATAATGTTACTACATATATACTGTTTTATTAGATTTTACTATATATTTCTATCCACATGAATTTATTTTTCATATTATGATATATTTTTTTAAGTAACATTTTCTTCCCTAGAAAAAATAATAATCACGCTTTTTTAAATGATTAAATAATTTTATAAAACCGTGAATTTAATACTAAATATGTGGAATTAAATAATACAATATGTGTTATTATATGTTATATGAATATATCATTTACACTGGTATTTTTAGCAAATAAAAATATATTATAAAAAGCGGGGAACATAATTTTCTTCTCTAGAAATTACATAAATTATTACTAGTGAAACTATACCAGAGGATGAAGATGTGTGATTTAAATGTTTAAAAAATAATGTTTTATAAACATTGTTTTAAAATATGCTATTTATTAAAAGTGAATGCCAAATATTTTTATTAATATTTTTATAATTTTTGTGTATTTTATGACTTTTATTTTTAGTTTAGTTTTAATAGTATGTTCCACACATGTACAAATGTTCTCAACTGGTATATATGGGAATAAAGATCTAGAGGGTATCAAGAATTTACAGGTTTATGTAATGATTTTTATAAAAATGAAATCGGAGGCAGTACATCTACAAATTTTTCTTATTTGTGTCGAGTTCTTGTTATATATTTAAAACATATAGAAAAAAAGAAAAATGATCATGCGCAAGCCTTCTGTAAACTGTTCTATTATAAACTGAAAAAAGATATATTAAATGGATTTGGATTAACAAAATATAATAACGCTAAAGAATGCTATCGGCAAATAATATAACAGAATAAAAAAAAATTATGAAACAATGATATCTTAAATATGTATGAAATATTCTGAATATATTATACCAAGACATCTAAATTATTTGAATATCTGTTTAATACATATTACTACAAAGATCTTCTTAATGGTCGAAAATATAGAGACAGTAGTACTATGCGCAAATTCAAAGAGCAAATTGTACATTTAGAAAATTTTAGTTGTAATAATAAATGACAACTTAAAAAATATTCAAAAGAATTATTGAAATATGTGAAGGCTATATAAAAAATTGGATTCTATTTCCCTTCAATGGAGTCGAAAAAATCCTAACTGAATATAATTGGTTCAGCAAAATAATAAGGAAAATCGATGAATTAAATGTTGAAAAAGAAAAGATTAATGTCGAATACATAGAATCTTTGGAAATAAAAAGAGAAGGTGCTCATGTTTTAATGAACACTGTGATAGATCATGTTACAAACACAGGAATAAGTATTGGAACGGTTTTTATAACTTTTTCAATATTAATAATTTTGTTTATTTTGTATAAGGTTAAAAAAAAATCAATATAACAAATTTATATTGCATTAAAATTTATAATAGAAATATTATTAAAAAATACATAAAATAAATGAACAATAATTAAATATATTATATAATTTTTTCTTCAGTATACCAAATATTTTTCCTTTTTAAAACGAAGGCTACGGATTTTAAGAAGAGCGTTGAATAAATATAATAAGAACAACCTGGATCTCATTGGAACAATTGATTTTGAATACAAAAATTCAGTAGATGATAGATATATAATAGCATATAGTTAAATTAACAAAAACCAATAAATGAGTAATATTAGTTACTGGATCCAATTTATTTTATATTAATAAACACAATATAACATTTGAATTGTTGTAAAATATAAATTTAATTATATTAATATGATTTATTATGAGAAAATAATATAGACTATTTATAATATATAGTAAAATCCTATAATATAAGAAAATTCAATATTTAATTGACTACAAATGGAAGAATAGGGAACTAACTAGACAATAATATAATAAATTTAATAGATATATACCATTTCCTTATTTACTGTAATTGTGCTACATTATAATAATTAATTTGGAGATACATGCATTCTGTGTTCAAATAACACTAATTATCGGAGAACAATATATTAGCCCTTAGATAAAAATTATACAATGATATTCGAATATCACTTATTTGATTGTAAATGTATATATATAATAAATTATTTGGTTAAAATAAGATTAAAAAAATTATGAATATTATGCTTTCTTTTTCTCGAAATTATGTATATAACAATTTCAAGTATTCAGTTGACATTTAATATTTTTTTCCATTTAATATAATATAAACAAAAAAGAAGGAAAAAAGTAACTAAGTTAACAATATAATTAACATATTAAGGTTTTACAAAATTTATGTACTTGTTAATGATGTAATTGTATAAAAAGTAAGATATATATAATGTATATAAGTATGTACATATGTTACAAATTAACATAGATATGCATAATTATAATGGAATACAAAATAATAAAGAGGATTCATAATTGTATAATATTTAAATTGTAAAAAAATTTTATTAATTATCTACATTATATATATATATATTTACAGTATTGATAATCATTAAATCTTATTATTTATTTAGTGTATATCTCTCCAAGGTTTTATAGCAAGAAAAATGAAGAAAATTTAGCACATTATTGTAAAGCATAATTTAATATTTCTTCAAAAGCTTATTCCTATTTATATTTTTATATTATAGTAGTTATTTTTTTACTATGTTATAATTTATTGTTGTATTATAGTAAATTTGATGAAATAATTAAAGTTAAAATTGCTTTTTATTTATAAAGCTAAAGTATAAAATAGTATATTTTACCACATATGTATATTCTCTTGTAGACGTAGTTCACAAACTATATATAAAAGAACACATATTATGTAGTTTGTTACATGGTATAATTTATTCCTTTTTACGTATATATAGGATGAATGAGCATAGAATACATTATATATACCACAATGTTAGAAAAATTATTTTAAATAATATAATGATTACGTAATATAAATATATATTTTTTTTAACATTTTTATCATTAATTAATTTGATAATATATAATTTAAATATCATATTAATTAACATGATTAATATTAGACTATCAAATATCTGATACATGTATTTTTTGATAAATTAAATGAATATACATTTGTCGATGAATTGAAAAATATTATATATACAATATTCAGTATTATGATAATTAGTTTATGAATAAAATTATCCTAAATTCACTTTTTATGTTATTCCTATTTTCATAATAATGTGTAATAAATATAATATGCTAATATATTAACATTGTGACAACAAACTTATATTATGATTTATTCACAACAAAATTACGAAAATAAAGATTTTACATTTATTTATAGGATTTATTTTTCCCTCTAAAAAGTAATTAATTTATTACTCTATTATTAATTTTTTATATGGTTTATTTATTTAATTTAATTGTTCACCCTTTACCTTAGCTATAACTAATAAAATATTAGTGCATTTCACAAATTATTCATTATGAACACAATGTTTGTATTAAATCTGAGTTCATTTTCATTCATTTATGCATTAATAGTGTACCATATCTGTAGGTTTATTTTTATATATTTTTAATTTAATAAATATATTATAATCATAGCATATTATATTGTAATATATAAAATTTTTTATTTTATTTATTCACACCATAATACAAGAAACCTAGGGAATTATTATAATACCACTATTGTTATATGCAAATTTTTTTTATAAATATAATTATTATATTTTCATACAAAATATCAGTCAATATATTTATTTTATAAAACAATATTACCTAATTCACTATTATTATATTAGTATTCTACTAATCTATATATAATTTGGTGCCATTTTTAATTATTGTATCTATTTTCAAAAAAATCCATTAAATATATAATATCTATTTTTATTATTAGCATTCTCCTCAAATTATATATCATTGGTTGAAATAATTAACAAAATGGTGTATACTAGAAATAACATGATATATGGTATCCTTGTGCCAAAGTAATTTATTATATATAAATAATTCATAGTTATATCTAACATTAATTTTATAAAAATATATCTAATGAATTAAATTTAATTATAACAGTATATAAAATTATTGCAATATTTAATATTATAAATGGAAAAAGAACAAAAACTGTACCCATATGCATGAATAAAATTGAGCCTATACCTGGTACATCTCTATGTCTAAAACTTCCCTCCTCTGTCTGCTTATATCTCCACTTAATTAACTATATGGCATTATTAAGACTATCACTTATTCATATTATATTTATTGTTTCTCATCTGTTCTAACATTTCTGCATGATTTTATTATTTCTATTAATTTTTTCAAATGAATTTAAACAAAAAACATAATTAATTTTGTATAAGCATACGTAAAAAAGTAACTTGTAAAAATATTCCAAATATAAAAATGGTATTAAAATTATGTTCCTTTGCTTATTTATACGATAACTGATTTTATTTTTAAGTTCAATAGTATTGTCTGGACAGTAAACAGTTTTTAAAATATATTATTCATCACAACATAATAAATATTTGTACAATAAGATATATATTATAAGAATATACTTCTCTATTATTATCATTCTTAAAATTTATAACAATATATATCAATGGATTATTATTTTTTATGCTATTCATATATTACTTTGTTTACAGTTTCAAGCAATGTAATTAATTATGCTAATTAGACTTTTTCAAATATTGTTATATATATATCCATTATTTAAAATAATTTGAATGCATAAGTATCATATAATTATCTATATATAGTGCTTGAATATTATTTATGAAATTAATTTTATTTATTTTTGTTCAACTGAATAATATTTAACTTACTTTAATTTTGTATAATTATATACAAAACATGTGTTAAATTTCTTTTACCTGACATTTTTAAATTAGTCATTTTTGGAGGAATTTATCATAGATACTGAAAAAGTATTTACCATTATTTATGTAATAATATAGACATATGTGTTGTTTGAACTGTTCATAATAAAATAAAAATATAATAGCCTATAATTCTAATTTATAATTTAAAGTTCATTTATTATTTACTTTATTATATCATAAGAGACACAAAAATATGAGAAGTATTTATATGTAAATTCTCAAATATTCAGTAGTACTAAATTAAAAATATTGTTTGAAATATTTCAAATTTTATCATTTTACTATAGATACCATTGTTTATTTTATCTTATGAAATTTTTTCCAATAAAGGAAAAAATATCAAGTCCAGATTTTTATCATTCTTATTAATTTTATTATTAACATATCTTA